AGCTCAGGAGCTGGATTATGAAGGCGGTGCTGGCAGCCAGGGAAAGGAAGGCCCATTCTAGCACGAATCTTCGTGCATGAGGCTTCTAGTTCCTTCATATTTTCTAAAAAGTTCATGTTGCTGTCCTCAGAACCTCTGCCCTGGTGACCAACTTGTAAGGCACTTTGATCTCCAGCCTCCAGAATGGAAGGGGGGGTGGTCACACTTGCAGAGGCAGAAGTGGGGTGCGGAGGGACCCGGGTTCCTGAGCTCTCTGACGAAGCTGGCCATGACAAAGGCAGAGGGCAATGACCAGCGCTGCCGGCACTCTCCAGTGTGGGTGGAGACCAAACCAAAGGCCCCTGACTCATGGGCCACCCCCCCACGCCCGCCCTAAAAATACCAGCTCTGGCCTCTTAGTATGACTCCTTGGTGACAAGACTCCCACAGCACTCCTCCCCTTGCCGTCCCCCCACACACATCCATCTGCCTGGGCCACCCGGTTTGTCCACCCCATAGGGACTCAAGGACACAGGGATTGGCCTCGGGGTAAGGTCCTCGGGAAGAGAAGAGCTCCATAGGAAGGCAGCCCCTGCAGACAAAGAGGCAGCTGTTCCCCAGGCCAGTCATTCATTCCTCTAGGAAGAGTGACTCTCCTGGGCTGGTCATGGGGAAAAACATGGAGAACTTCCTGCAACTGGCCGTGGAGGCTGCCAAGATCTGTCTCCAGGGTTGGGGAGCTTCTCCCTGCTTCCCTGTGCCTTCCTTTGCGCAACCCTCCTGAGGACTCGTCATCCTCCTTTCAGAGAAGGACAGGAAAGGAGGGCAGTGGCACAGTTCCAGAAGCACAAAGGGTGGGCGCAGAAAGACATGGCCCTCCAGGAAAAGCTCAGAAACGGCTGGAGGCCCAATCACTGGGCAACCGAATTTTTAGAGCTGGAAGAGGACACCCTGAGGCGGCAGCCAGGGAAACCCCTTCATTTTGCAGCTGGGATGCCGAGGTCAGCAAAGCGAAGAGACCTGCCCAAGGTTGCACGGGATAGCAGTGAGGCAGAGGGGAGGGGGCCCAGGTCTTCCGGTGGCCAGCTGTGCTTCCTCTGCCACACCACCCTGCGACTCTGCCTCTCTCCTCCCCTCTCTCTCCCAAAGTGGTCAGGTGGGCAAGGAGGGAACAAAGAGGAGGTAAGAAAGGAAGGGCCTGCATCAAGCCCCTCCCACTGCCGTAAAAGCAAGCCACCTGTAACAACACTGAGAGGCAGAGTGCTCCCTGACCCTGGGGGAGGGGATCAAGTGGAGGCTGGATGATCACCTGCTGGGGTGCTGGGTGCTGTTGAGGGAACGTGGGCCAGTTGTCCACTGTGCCCCTCACACAGGTAAGCTTCCACTATTCTAATCAGGGATGGAAAGAGGTCTGAGACAAAGCAAAGGATGACCCTGTCAGAGAGGGCGTCGAAAGTCCATAGGTGGCAGAGGGTCGAAGGCAAGTTTTCCTGAAGCACGGACACACAGACCATCCTCATCTTCTCCTATCAAAATCCCTTCAATACGCTTATAATTATCACCATTAGCAAGGTCAGCATTTACTGATGCCTCAACCCGCATCAGCCCTGTGCTGAGTGCTTGCAACACTCTGGCTCATTCATTCATTCATTCATTCATTCATTCGCACCACTCCAGAAAGTAGCAGAATGTCACAGAACCTCACAGATGAGGAAGCAGACCCTCCTTTAGAGTCCGGCGCTCCACACCAGGGGTTCTCAAAGAGCGCCCGGACCAGAAGCAGCATCTCCCAACACCTATTGGATCAGACTCCAGGGGCCACAGCCCAGTGATCTAACCAGACACCCAGGTGGTGCTGACGCCTGCCTAAGTTTGCCAACCGAATGGTCCAATCACTTCCCAATGCTGCCCACAGGGAAAAACCAACACGTCTCTGCCTGGTAGTCAAGACCTTAGGGTTTTTCCTAGCCCAGGTGGTCAGCTTCCCCAACCCAGCAGAACCTTACCCCAAATCTGCTGCTCAGCCTACAAGTTCCAGAAGGGGTTCAGGCCCCTCCCTGCACCTCATCATCAGGCCTGGCCTTGGAGTCCCCTCTCTCCAGATGCCCCTGCCCACCTGGCACCTGCAGACTGCTCCGCACTACAGTCAGACTTACTGCCCGGCACATGCTGGCACACAAGGGCTCCAGACAGCACTCTGGGCACATCCCTCCCCATTCTACTACCAGTTCCTCTGGGGCAGAGCCAGTTCCTATGCACCTGAGCATCAGGCCATATTCACAGCACCAGGCACACGGGCATCAGGAAACGTTTGCTGAGTGTAGAGAGGGATAAAGGGGGATGGGAAAGATGAAATTAAATTAAAAATTTAAAAATGAAAAAAAAAGCCTCGGGAAGCAAGTTCTGATCCTCATTTCAATTCTGCCACTACCCGTCTGGGACAAGTGCCTTCCCATCTCTAGGCCTCAGTTTCCTCAGTTTTCTGGGAAACGCACCATCATTCTAGTTTCTTCCATTCTACTCACCCATTGAACAAAGCCAGCAGAGCCTTACCTTAGACCCTCTTATCTATTATCAGGGATGCACACACAAAACTAAAGAGGCCCTGCTCTCACTCTTCTCTTCTGGGGAAAAGAGAAAGATGAAAAAAACAAGTAAACACTGAAATTACTATATGCCAGACACCAAGTTCTATCCATATACTCTCTCATTCACAAATAAATGAGATTATTTCAGAAGATGACAACTGTATGAAAAAAAAAACACAATCGTTTTATGACAGAAAGTGAAAAAGGGGGCCACTTTGCATAGAAAGGTCAGGGAAGGCCCCTCTGAGAAGGTGACATTTGAGCTGAGACTTGACAAAGAAGGAAGAACCAGCCATAGAAAGAGCCGGAGAAAGGTGTTCCAAGTAGAAGGAACAGCATATACACAGGAAAGGCCAAGCTTGGCAGGGAAGAAGAGCAGGGTCCATGGCTAAACCGCAGTGAGAGCAGAAGTAAGGTGGTACCCAGGGGTACTGAGAGAGGTAGACAAACAACCTCTTACAATTCTAAGGTGCTCAAATCAGGTCGGCCCAACCCAACCCAGGACATCCGGGCCCAAGTCACAAGCAGCACTGGGGGTAAGGGTATGAGTCAGACCCCACGGCTTCCTGGGGCCCCAAAGGACCTGGTGTGGGCATAGGGGCAGGCACCAACCCTCAGCATGAGTGCCATGCCATACCCACGGAACACCCACGGGTCACATAAGTATGAAGAACACAGGACTCTCTCGGCTGCCGCTTTCAGAGGGACATGATCAAGTGCTTCCATGAAGTGCCAGTCACATTATTTTCCCAGGACACAGCAAGGACAAGAGCCTTGGTCAGTGGAAAAGAAACAGGATCCAGGGTTCAAAGCTTACTAGTTTGGGGCAAATCTTAACTTTTGGGGCCTCAGTTTCCTCACCTGAAAATGGAGGCTACTAACAATAATGATCTCCTAGGATTGCGGAAAAATTAAATGAGATATTGAATGAAAAGCACCATGCTTGGCACATGGTAAATGTTCATAAATGTAAGCTGTTATTATTACCACTACTGGATGTTCACTGCCTCTCTGCTGTAAAATAGGGATATTGATACAACATCATAGGATTTCTATAAGTCTGTACTAATAAATATTCCAGCTTCCCAATGCAATATCCATTGTCAGGAATTTAAAAAAAAAAAAAAATGCTGTGAGTCCCCTTTCCTGACCTCTCATCAGATGCCGAATTCCCCTCTCTCATACCCCCATGTTTGGAAAGTGAGTAAGTGCTGCTTAAATTCCATTTTGACTATACTGTGAAATAAAAATGATGCATTCGGAATCCACAGCTTCCCCTAAGCTGTCATTCTGCAAGGGGGTGGGGATGGAGGTTGCAGAGTCTTCCGCATCGTCCACAAAAGTCCCGCCCTCCCAACCAAAACACAATCTGTTGCCCGGTCACATAAACACTTCCATACACACGATTAATGAATGTATAATGCCATCGCTCCCATACACATCACTGTATGCACACAAATGTCCTACAGTGGAGAAGTCAGCCATACATAGACACTCCACACCCAAAATCATTCCCAGAAATTCACTACAGATCCTCCGCACATGCACACAGATGTAGTCTCCAACACTGTGCAAATATGGTCAACAGTTGAGCAGGGACTCGGAGAGGAGTGCCAGCTTTCAAATCCTGCAACCCCCTAGCTGTGTGACCCCGGTCTTCAAGTGCCTTGGGTTGGAAACAAACTGGGGATGATAATACTAATACACACTTTGAAGAGGAATGTTATTTTCCTCTTCATTACCTATGCACACTGCTTCTAAAACTGGTCACCCAAAGAATAAAAAATAAAATAAAATAAATAAAATAAAACCGGTCTCCCACACTTGTAAACACGCTCTCCCCACCGGCTGGTGCACACCGCCTGCAAGCCCTGCACTGGCCTACACGCCGTTTCCAGACACGCTCGCCTCCGCAGTGCGCACGCGCACCCACCACCCTCCGCGAGAGCACGGATTCCCCGCAGCGCAGAGCCCGACACCCCAGGAGGCGCCCCGCGACCCGGCGCCTCCAGCGCCCTCGCCCGGGAGCCGAGAACCCGGGGCCCCCTGGCGGGGCCTGGCCTCCTGCTCCATGCCGGACCACGGCTGAGGCGCTGAGCGGCCGGCCTCAGGCTCCCTCCCCCTCCATCCTCGCTCAGGCCCGGCAGGCTTACCTGAGGGTGCCGGCCTGGAGGGACAGCGCCCTCTCTCCGCGTCTGGCACGGGCTCCAGGGACGCGCCGGGGACGGGGTGGCGGGGGAGCAGCCCAGGCGGCACACCTCCGGCTGCTGGGAAGGGGCTGGGACGAGGAAGTGCCGGGAGCAGCGCGCCCCGCCCCTGGGAAAGTCCCCGGTGATTGACAGGCCTGACGTCCAATCGCGGCGTGCGGATCGGGCGGGCCCGCGGCTGCCGGGGTGGGGCCCCGCGAGGTAAACAGCCCGGGAGCTGAGGTGCCGCCGCGGTGCCCGCCCCTCAGGCCGGCGGCTCCGCTCGGGTCAGGGCTGTTCCTGACGCACTCCCGGCGCCGGAAGCCTCGGGCTCCCGAATGAGGCTGTGGCCACTTGAAAGCCCCAGCGACGGAGCGGAGACGAGCCGCAGAGACCACCCACCACTTCCTGGGGCCGAGGGGCACCAGGCCAGGGCGGGAAGGAACTTGCCAGAAGGCACGTAGCGTTTGGAGCTCCGCCGGAGCTGCCGCTCGGGCGCTCCCGGACGTGTTAGCAGAGCTCAGGTTTGAGCAGAGCTCATAGAAATTTCAGGCTGGAAGGACCCTTCAGGAATCTTTTGCTGCTAGCATGCACTGCTCCAGACACTGTAAAGCACTTTGCACGCATTTAATTTACTCGGCCACCCCACCACCCGCCTCTATAAAACAAACAAACCATAAATATATGAAATAGAGAGGTTAGATTGTCAGTAAGTGGCTGACCCAAGATTCAAACCCAGGTGGACAAATTCAAAGCCGGCCTCCTGCCCTGCCTGCCTAATGTATCTTATACAGCAGGTGGGCCAGGCTGTGGGATTTCCCAGATCCATATGGAGCAGTCGTTTGGTTTAAGGTTGGGAACACTGGTCTTTTTAAGGTCATAATTTTACTCGAAAGGGGGTAAGTTTAATTTCAGAAAGAGTTTGAGGAGCTGTTTCACACAGGCCCTCGTTTTACAAATTTGAGGGATCTGTCAATCAACTGTGATTCTGTGCGAACACACACACACACACAAGCATATGCCCAATCCAAGCATTCTCCTGCCAGGCTCTGTGACAACCTGGGATGCCTTCAGTTACTTTGAAGGTGTTATCAAATTCTCAAAACAGCGCTGGCCGGTTCGGTTCAGGGTGCGTGCTAGAGGCAACCAATGACACATTGATGTTTTTCTCTCTGCCTCTCTCCCTCCCTTCCATTCTCAAAAATAAAAAATCAGTGAAAGACTATCGTTGATGAGGATTAAAAAAGAAATAATTCCAGTTCATTTTAATTATGAAAATAAATACATATATACCCAGATTTTGAAGAAAGGGAGGGAGCCAAGGAATGCAAACACCAAAGCACCATTGAGTGTCACAGAGATAGGGTATAGGGAGATTAGGATTTATAAGGAAGCCTGCAGGCATCCCCTCTGCCCGTTGGGTCCCCCAGACCAGTCTTCGTCCTGTTCTTCATCTGTACACCCCAAATTGCTTCTTCCTAGAATGCTCTTTTCCTAAGCCCAACCTCTCGTCTCATGATCAATGAAATTTACTTTAAAAAAAGAGAGAGAAGGATCTTCAATTATTTACATTTTGTTTCCAAACTATTTCAGCTGTTTTTATAATACGTCCAACTGAAGTCAGAGAGGGAAATAATTCCATTCCCCAAAATACCAGACGACACCTTGGTGGGTTTTTTGGGGACAATGCTCTAGTATGACATAAAAAGGTTACACAGTCATCTTTTTGCCTGTATTCCTACGTTGGGATATTTTTTCTTCACAATTACAACATGTGAGGAAACTCATCTCTTCAAAGTCATGACCGCATCCACCCCTTCCACTCTTTTTTAAGTCTTTGTTGGACTTCAGAACATCCCACCATGTTAAAGGCCATAAGGGGCCCCTGATCACAATCCCTTATTTGACCAGTAGGAAAACGGAGGCTTCAGTGTAGGGAAGGACTCGTGAAAGGCTACGCGTATTGAGTGATGCGACCAGTGTTGGGACTCAGGACTTGGGCTCACCAGCATATGTACAGTTTCCACTGCACCCCATTGGCTTACAGTGTCATGATTTTTCCTACAATCCTACAGAACCTCAGCATTCATTATGAACATAAGGCTATGAATTTAACTAATGGGGTTCTAACACCTACTCAACCACTTACAACCTGGGTGGCCTCTCTAAGCCTCAGTTCCTCTCTGCATGCAGAGATGATAATTGTACCTACCCCTCAGATGATCCTGAGGATAAATGAGATAATGCAAGTAAAGCCCAAAGCTTGGCACAAAGAAGGCATTTGAGAAATGATAATGGCATGTAGACATGGGTTACATGCATTGGGTAGACTATCACAGTTAAACCCAGGAATACATAAACAGCACTTGGAATAGTGCTGCTTTATACTGTTCTCTATTTGTCCGTGTTTGAAATTTTCAATAATGAAACATTAAAACATTTTTTAAAAATAAAATAAATGATGTTGGAAAATTGGACAGGTACATGCAAGGGGGGGAAAAAAGGAACTGGACCACCAACTTACACCATACACGAGAATAAACTCAAAATTGATAAACTGATAAAAGACAAATGTAAGTTGCAAAGCCATAAAGATTCTAAAGAAAACATAGGCAGTAAAATCTCAGACATCTCACATAGCAGTATTTTCACTGATACATCTCCTAGGGCAAGAGAAACAAGGAAAAAATAATTAAATGGGACTACATCAAACTAAAAAGCTGCACAGCACAAGAAACCATCATCAAAATGAAAATAACCCATGTGTGGGGGAACATATTTGCCAATGATACATCTGATAAGGGGTTGATTTCCAAAATACATAAAGAACTTATAGAGCTTAACGCCAGGAACACAAAAAATCCAATTTTTAAAAATGGGCAAAGGACCTGAATAGACACTTCTCTAAAGAGGACATACAGATGGTAAACAGAACATATGAAAAAAATGCTCTACATTAGGGGTGTCGAACTCAATCAGAGAAGGGGCCAAAATCTAAAATCCAGCCTAAATCGCGGGCCGAATGGTTTACTGAACAGTCATAAACTGTCATTGTGATGGAAACGCAGAGGAGTGCAGTGATGACAGCGCGGTGTGGGCCACATTGCAAGGCCTGGCGGGACAGATTTGGCCCTCGGGCCTTGTGTTTGACACATGTGCTCTACATCATTAATCACCAGAGATACAAATTAAAACTACAATAAGGTATCACCTCATACCTGCCAGACTGGCTACCATCAACAAATGACAAGTGCTAGTGAGAATGTGGAGAAAAGGGAACCCTAGTATACTCACTGCTGGTGGGAATGCAGGATGGCGCAGCTAATATGGAAAAAGGGTATGGAATTGCTAAAAAAAAAAAAAAAAAAAAAAAAAAAAAAATTGCCAATGGAACTGTCATTTGACCCAGCAATCCCACTTCTGGGAATATATCCTAAGAATCACAAAACACCAGTCAGAAAGATTATATGCATTCCTATGTTCATAGCAGCATTGTTTACAATAGCTAAGATCTAGAAACAGCCCAAGTGTCCATCCATAGATGAGTGGATAAAAACGAAGTGGGATATTTCCATCATGGAATATTATGCAGCTGTAAAAAAGAAGGGTCTCTTACCCTTTGCAATAGCATGGATGGACCTGGAGATTATTATGCTAAGTGGAATAGGCCAATCAGAGAAAGACAAATATCACATGATCTCCCTTAAATATGGAATCTAATGAACAAAATAAACTGATGAACAAAATAGGTCCAGAGGCATGGAAACAGGGAACAGACTGACAGATCTCAGAGGGGAGGGGAGGGGGGAGTGGGGACAGAAAGAGATTAACCAAAGAACATATATGGGGCTCAAGTGGAAGGGGTAATGGGGGACATCTTTAATACTGTCAACAATAAAAAAATGAATTTTTAAAAATCTTGTACTTCTAACCAAAATACTCCCAACCCTTCCCATAACCGATTGAACTCTAAAATCAAGGGCCTAAAGAAGAGGGAAGGCTGCATATTAAAAACATTAAAAGGTAACATTTGTGGAGTATTTGCTGTGTGCTAGGCCTGCACTTTTACATACTGTATCTCCCAACCATGCTCTGAGGTCAGAACAGTTATCATCCCCATTTCTCAGATGAAACTGGGGCTTGGAGCTGTTAAATGACTTGGATAAGGTCACATACAGCAACAGGTAAATGGAGCAGGAAGATCCAGGCTCTTAAACTCAT